AGCATTAGCTGAATTAAAACGCCAACACGAGGAAAACATGAAAAGTGAAAAAGAAAAATTAGAAATATTGAAGTAATTTTTAGAGAAGTTATAAGATGAATGTAGCAGATGTGTAGCATGTAGATCAACGCGCCTAGATAGAGCGACTAGATTAAAAGGAGATTTATTAATTCAATGGTTACATGCCATTTTCTGTTTCTTGGCATTTTCTGTTTTCTTCAAAATATGCAAGAAAGTTGTATAGCAGTTACTCATAATTAAAGGCACATAACCACAGATGGAAAGACCAAATTACGCCCACATCTCGAAAGGTTTTATTGAAATTGATGGAAAACAACACCTACACATGTTCACCCAGTTTCGCGGGAACCATGCATGCTAAATGTATGTGTTCTTAGCTTCTCACGTATCGACCTAAGAACCAGACATCGATTACTCAGGCATACCTGACAGGTCAATGAGATTTAAAACCGGCACAAGAAGTATTGAGGTATGTCACAAAGTAAAATAAAAAAAATAAAGTCTAAGCGGCATAATGTTTTCATCTGTGGTTATGTGCCTTCAAGTACAATTGCATTCAGCATTTGAAAAATCGAACATCCTGCAGCCTTGAGATTCTTCATAGTACATTTCTATGTAGTTTCTTCAAGGTCAGAATAGTGATCGAATTGTGTAAACTGTAGTTGATTGTGAAACTTTGATTGTTAGGTGCACCACAACAGGTTTTAGTTTACAGATTGTAAAGAGAACTAACTGCTCATGAGTCATTACATCTTTGTGTAATCTTTGCATAAATTAATGTAATACTTTTTTAGGCTCCATAACTGAAATTGGAGAAATTTCTTACTAACATATGTAGCATGTCTCTTGAATAAGTTCTCAAACAGTTTATTATATGAAACACACTGTCACATAAATGTAACTATTACATGTAAATTAAAGGTATTGAATCTAATTTAAAAAATGCATACAAATAAAAATTTTCTAGTACTCTTCAAGTACATTTTACATTTTGTTTTTCATCTATTTTTAGCAACGCGCGTAACCGTTGAAAGAAATTTCATTCAATCAACGTAGCAGCTATCTGTAACAATTAGGCCTGCTATATATATGCAACGCGCGTAGCAATGCACAATACCGCGGCTGTTTTCTGGTTCTATATATATGTAGGATCTGACGACCTACCCCAAGGAGGGATCACACGGTCTAACTTTCTAACAGTACAGAAATAGCTCTGCGTTTCGCAATACCTGATGCCCTGTCGTTACCTAGTTCTTCAGCATTGTCATGCATGTCAGTGTCATTCTGCTGTCCTTGCAGATATTCTTCAACCATGTTATTGCTTAGCATACATATGTTGTGCATCACGAAGAAACTTGAAATTAGATCTATTAATCTGTTGTGTTTATGCATGTCAATCAGGAGTAGATAAAGGGAAGGAGTGTGACTCCAATAAACAAGGGAAATTCGTCATTT